GAGATCAAGAGACCAGAGCACTTTCCAGAGACAGGAAATGATTGTTGCACTACATTGTTGACCTTATCATTAGCATACAGAAGTGAAATCATCTATGAAACTAGCATCTGTGCATCTTTTTTTTCTTGCTCACACTTAAATACAGTTCTGCCTTAAAAAATAGGAACTACGCATTAATAAGCATGTGCGGAAATTGTTTGAGTTTTCAAAACTGAAATCAGAAGCATGATAAGAAGACAAGCATTTCAGTACATTATATATCTGCAGAAAAAGATGATGGTCTCTACTAAGGTATTCTTTCTGACCTATCTGTCCTCTTTCAACTTCAATTTCACCCACATATCAAAACATCAGCTTTCATTCTCCTGTGTTTATGCATGTGTGTGTGCTGTCTTTGCATGCACACTAAATCATGACACAGAAATCAGAATATGGTGAAACACTTTTGAATTATACAAGCTGTTGTTGGGTTTATCTTTTATTGTGCCATTCAGGGTTTGTTTAAAAGGGTTAATAAAATGCCAGAAGTATAGTATGTAGACACCAAAAAAAAAAATATTACACTGGCATCTGATTGTTGCCTATCCCATTTCAAAACCATGGGCATTAATATGCTGATAATGACAGTTTTTCAACAGCAACTTGGAACCTGGCTGCAGGGACTTGTTCCCATTCAGCCACAAAAGCATTACAAGGATTAAGGGCCAGGCTCTGTGCAGGCCAGTAAAGTTCTGCTACACCGATCTTCAAACACAAATAAACAAATAAATCTAATCAAATTAAAATGGTATAGCTTTGTGCATAGGGCGATGTCAGGGCTAATTTTAGCAGTTACTAATGTTTTGAGGGTACTCGTACCCTGGTGCAAGGAGTCATCACATGGAGTAGCTCAGCTAAACTAAAAAAACAAAATGCAGTGCATTTAGGAAGAAAATAAGCACACAAACTGAACTAAATATGGATTTCATTCTTTCTATTACTAAATAGTCACCATCACCAATCACAAGACAGACACTGTTTTTGATATAATCTACAGTTAATAGCGATCACAAGACTTCTGCTCTTCAAGCCAACATGGAGACTGAGAGCTACACTACTTTAAGCTATAAGCCTCCACTCTCTACTTTTAAAACACCATGCTCATCACTGTTGACATTTCAACTTTTTTTTTTTTCATTACAAATCATTATTCTATTCTGAATTCGATTGAATCTGGTATCCAATCAGCAATTTTGCTGCTTAGGTGACCAGTGTGAGACTCCTTTGTGCCACAGCAGTCTCCACTCTCATAACAAAAGCATTTTTCTTCTAAGATCCACTTCATTACCCAGACTAATATGGAGCAAAATATTTATTCAAATGAACCAAGATCAAATCCTATAAAATGAATGAGAAGAAAATGCTGAAATGGATTATATGCTTGCAGAAGAATCATCATATTTGAATTAATTACAAACTAAAAGGGTAACAGCGTTGAAAAAGTGCTTATTCTCTTTCCATCTCCATAGTTATTTTCTTATTAGCTGGCATTTATTTATGTTCATCATCCATCCCAGCCCAGTGTCATCAATGTGTCCATGAAAACAGAAAATAATTACATACATATAATTACATTTTATCAGGATCAACATGACAACAACTGATTGGCTGTTGTTTTGTGGAGAAGACACACTGAGCGTTTTACTGGTCACAACCAGAGGAAAGCCTTTCTAGTGGAGATTGATTGGGCAGTGTAATTTTCTCCCTGAATAGCTCCCGGGCACATACACACTTATTGTGTGACTTTGGCAGGGGCCACCTTTGTATAATAAGTGTGGGAATGTGAGCTTTTCTTTGTCTTAAATGGTATTCTTTGAGCTGTGGTGTGGTCTCGCAGGGCGGGGGTTAACGTCTGAGCCCAGTGCTACCCAGGATAAGTCACATGTGACAGTCTGTCAAGTCACCTCTCATCAGGGGGCACAGCAGAGAAGGCAAATCCTCAACAGCAACACACACATTACACTTCAAACACAGACACAAAACACACATGATGATAATTTTTTTGCTGTACATCCTTACAATATTTACAGTTTTATGTGCAAATGCACTGATCACCATGAGAGCGTCTCCATCCAGCCATGTGACACACTGCTGCAGGATGTGGTCTGGTAGTGACTCGGCCAGTCAACAAGCAGCGTTTAAGTGGAGAGATATCAGCGCTCCATCTCCTATGAAATAGGACGCTGTGACCTCTCCCGTACTCCATCGTTTAGCCTTTTCATTTCATGTTTCCAATTCTCTGCTCTGGTTTCATTTACTTACATGGAGATGTGATAAAAAAGGTGATTCAAGGACCACTTTCCATCAGTTTTTACAGCCTATTTACTTACAGTCACTTGCTTTTAGTGTGAAATACCGGCTATAAATCCAGTTCATACAAAGTTGCATATTTACTATTTGCCTAGCACTTCTAAACATCTCTAATTAATAACCTATATCCTCACTGAAACTGTACAAAAGCTGTGCTACACAAATATCCACACAGATAGATAAAACTTTAAAATGCATATAAAATGCACAGAAAGATACAAAATTTAAACACAAATTAAATAAAACATAAAATGGCAATTAAAAACAACAATTACATGACAGTACAAGTAGTGTAGCAACATGCATGAATAGATAGTACTTTAATGTAGCTGTGGCAGGCTGTGGATTCTCTCTGTTCTCATTACACTGTATTTTGCACCCCTTTACTTGAATCTTTCTAAGACCAACCGCTGAGTATTTTAACACGAGAGGCAGGCGTACTTTCCTCTTCGGAGTTAGAAACACCAGTGTCTGTACAGTCAGTTAATGGAACTTTTTTATATATCTTCACTAGACCCTGATGAACGCTTTATGCCAAAATGCGTTGGTCTTTTATCACTTCATTGGACCATGCCCTTCACAATGACTGATGCCACTTTTGACTTCTGATGACAAAGCTTTTTCAAAAATAATACTGTTATCTGATATATTTCTATGGTTTAGGTTTGCTTAAGTTTAGGCACAAAAAACACTAGTTAGATTTAGGGAAATATTATGATTTGGTTTAAAAAACCACTTTGTCAAGGTTAAAGAACCTTCAGCATCTCGATAATAATATTAACCACTTGATAACATCCAAGAAATCACATTTAAAAGAAACCAGCGTGGACTGTGAAACAAACTGCGATTTCAGTGTGGCAAAGTCTAGCATTTTGTTGATTCACCTATCTAATGCAACCCTGTGCCTCTGCAGACTTTGAGGCTGTATAACAATTTCACACATTATCTGTTTTTTGTTTTGTTTTGTTTTTTTTACTTCTAATTTTAACCTTTGAACAGAACCAGGATAGTAGTTTTCATGTTTCTACTCTTTATGCTAAGCTAAGCTAGCCTGGTTGGAGCAGAGTGCTATCAGTCTTCTCATCTAACTCTCAGTAAGAAAGCAAATAAAGTGTATTTGCCAAAATGTTAAATAAATTCCATTTTTAAGGTAAGAATCCCGCATTTAGTAGTCTGATGGCTGCACTCCACCATGGATTTTGGTGACATAATCACACATAAAACATAAAAACTAGCACACATTAGATCTTTAAGAAACCGGATCAGGGAGTCGACTCCTCTGAAGGACACAGACACAGAGCGTGACAAAACACTTATTAAACCAAGAGCGAGACGATCTCTAGACCGAGCAGCAGGGAAAGGGGAGACGTGACCATGGAGGGGTGACAGAGCGAGACGTCAAAATGAAGAAATGCAGAGATGAGAGGATAGAGAAATAGAGAGCCTACTAGACCAGGCAGAGGATGGAGGAAAGAGGGGACCACTCAAAACACGATAAACATATCAAAATGACTTCTGTTCATGTATAGTCAGTTAGAGCATTGAAAGGCATTTTTAAAATCATACTTCTGTTCATGTATAGTCAGAGCATTGAAAGGCATTTTTAAAATCAAAAAACACTATTGATGTATGAAATTCACAATGGTTTATCAAATCTTATTACATTTGAGGATTCAAACTTTGGTAAAATGTCAAGCAGAACTTTTTTTTTGAGTATTCACGGCTTGCAGACACAGGTGAAAAACTATAATGTTGCATTTTGAATATGATTTTTATATTGTTTACAAAGTAATTTTAATAATCTCTAGTCAGTTAGAAACAACACAATATTAATACGATCCCTCTCCTCAGTTTGGACATAGGGAGCAGATTTTAGGCTGCCAGGTTGAAAAAATAAACAATAATCATGACCCTGGTGTTGAATGTCTATCAGTGTATGAGCCTGGTTGTGTTTTTCCTGCCATTATCAAGTAAGTACAATAAATATAGGTTTGCATTAATGTATTATTATTATTTTTGGAAATCAATAAAATTGCACAATGAAGTCCAAAGACTACAATGATGTTTTTTAAAAGCACAAGCTGTAGACATCGCTCCCTGGCTTTGACGAAAGCATCAATCTCTGCCTCATATTCTCACAATTCAGCCAGTAATGATAAAGCTTGAAGCAGAAAACCGAAGGGTCCTTGTGGGAGTCTGCTCTTCCAGCCTGCTCAGCCTCAGGGGACAGAGGAGCAGAGCTGGCTCTCAGATAAGACAACATTGTACATCACTTGTAAATCAATCAAGGTCACCTTATATGCTCTCTTTGTTTCTGGGTCTATATGAATTTCTCAGCTGCTGCAGAGTTGGGGAATAAAGGTAGAATGTCATACTGAGTCAAATATTGTTTTCCTTTGTGAATGCTAACAGCCCAGGCTCTGACCTTGATGCCTTTGTTATTGTTAGCTGTCCCACACCACCACCTGCTGGTCATAAACATATTTGTATGAATACAGCCTCCGCATTTAAATTATGAGGCAGAAATGTTAAAAAGTAATGTTATTTACAATTAATGATAAAAAGGCCCCTCCCCCTTCCACCTCCTAGATAGTGGTGGAAAAAAATATTCAAAGATAGCAAAAGAATCAACATCATACCAGTGTCGTGGATTAAAATGTTTAATTAATGAGCATAAAATGTCCACAGGGGTATTCTAGAGGTGGACAACAAAACAGATGTTAGAGTTAATGATATTTATCTTGTAAGCACAAACATCAGTTAATTGGGGTTTGCTTTAAAATGAAAATCCATGCAGTGTTATTACATTAAAGATCCCACTCAGATAGGATTTAAGACAAAAGATTTAAAATATATCATTAAGAATTCAAAATGCTCTAAGTAATAATTCTGTCTAATTAGTTATTTTTTAACAAAATGTTCAGTGAACTAGGTAAAACTCTTACAATTGGATGTGCTCATTTGAAAAATCCAGTATCTATCAATTAACAGATACTTTTCACTTGGACAGAAGTGAAGGGGATCACATGCACTCTTGTTGATAACTTCATGTGAGCGAAACAGTAAATTAAATTTCACACTTTTTACAGACTTTACTGCCACTTATTAGACCGTAACTGTCATGAGACTATTTTCTTTGAAAAATGACTTTGTTATTCTGGATTTGGTATGGAGCAGCTCTTACCACTCCACCCAGGGTAACACTTGCACTCAAAATCAAACCTCTTGAACGTTTCCTGGTGTCTCTTCATCTGTCCTAAAACGCTGTAGGTCGTCCGTCCATTGGGCATCTTCTCAGACACCACCTTCCACACGGCAGGGTCGAGGTGGAGGTAGGCCCTGGAGTTCAGGTTCCTTCTCTGACATCTTCCTTTAGAGGAACACATGATCTGGCTGCAAAAAGTGGCTGCTGCTGTTACATTCACCAGGTAGGGACCCAGAGTGTTGTCAATGTAGGACCGGACAGAATTACAAGTAGCCTGAAAGTAGAACAGAACCAGGTGATATTATTGACTGAGGATGCTTCAAATAAAGCTTTTATGCCGGTTTTACTTAAACATGTGTCCAGTGGTCAAAGCAAAAGCCACCTGCAGTAAAGTAACCCCACACACAGCAAACAATGTCTCATTCACATTATACTATTTCTGCAGTAACTCTTTGAGAATAAATATGGCATTAGTTTATATTTTTCTTATTATCCTATTAAAAAACCAAAAACATTTGTGTTGTATGTTCTGTGCAGCCAAACATTCAATATAATTGCACTACTTCCATTTGTTGTCTGAAACTTGCTAAAGACACATGAACCACACTGTTGCACAAGCTGACATGTTCCTTCATTATAATAAACATGCACTGTAGTTTCTTTTCGGTCAGCCTCACATACTGTTCATGTCCTGCTGCTGTACACACTCCCTAGCACATCAAATGTGTATAAGTCTGCAAATGGGAAAAAAAGTCCCCAACAAATACACTATTTCCACAATGACAGTACACTGAGCCATTAAAAAAAATGAAACTATGGTTGTGGCTGAGTGCCACAGCTGGAGTAGGAAAGTCAAAAAGTTTTGATGGTTGAAAATAAAAGTCATTCTTTAAAAAACATTTAACTAAAGAACAATAAGTAAAGTTTAAAACTGTTCCAATGAATCAGCATTATAAAATCTCCAATGCATGATGGAAATAAAGTTCAATGACATGATCAACTTGCTGTCTTTAAACATTTTTTAGTTCAACTTAAATCACCATAGTTGATAATACACAATTAAATGTGCAAATGGATGGCTGAGCATTCCCATAAGCTAGATGAAGTGCTGCTTACCCATGATTTGGTGACTTGGCACATATAATTTGGACTATATTTGTAATACAGGGGCTGGCCCAAGTGGCTTTGGCAGCAAGACACATCTGAGCCAGGCCCACTTAATTGTAAAGTACACCAGTAATGGGCCCTCTAAGTCTGTCCTGACTGTATTGTCAGCAATGCCAATGCAAATACTGTGACCAAATTATATATGGGTGTAAGAGTGAAGGTCATCAGGTGGGCCCCCTCTCACTAACTGGTGTTTTGCTGAGTTGGGCCCACGACAGGCTCAATGGTGTGTTTACCTGTGTCCTAAAACCATATCTTTGCCAAGATATTTATCTTGTAAGCACAAACATCAGTTAATTGGGGTTTGCTTTAAAATGAAAATCCATACAGTGTTATTACATTAAAGATCCCACTCAGATATGATTTAAGACAAAAGATTTAAAATATATCATTAAGAATTCAAAATGCTCTAAGTAATAATTCTGTCTAATTAGTTATTTTTTAACAAAAAATCTATCAATTAACAGATACTTTTCACTTGGACAGAAGTGAAGGGGATCACATGCACTCTTGTTGATAATTTCATCTGAGCGAAACAGTAAATTAAATTTCACACTTTTTACAGACTTTACTGCCACTTATTAGACCATAACTGTCATGAGACTGTTTTCTTTGAAAAATGACTTTGTTATTCTGGATTTGGTATGGAGCAGCTCTTACCACTCCACCCAGGGTAACACTTGCACTCAAAATCAAACCTCTTGAACGTTTCCTGGTGTCTCTTCATCTGTCCTAAAACGCTGTAGGTCATCCGTCCATTGGACATCTTCTCAGACACCACCTTCCACACAGCAGGGTCGAGGTGGAGGTAGGCCCTGCAGTTCAAGTTCCTTCTCTGAACCAACGGCTGTATTGTCAGCAACACCAATAGAAACTCTTTGTGGGTTTAAGAGTGAAGACAAGTCTACAAGGTCATCAGGTGGGCCCCCTCTGAATAACAGGTGTTTTGCTGAGTCGGGACCACGACCACGACCTGCTGACGTCTGAATGAGATGTACACAAAGTGATGCACACTACTAATGAACAAGTCAGTCAATCATACCCGAGATTTGGAGTAGGTGCTGTCGCCCCACAGCACCACCCCTGTGGATCCCAAAGCAACACTCTCTCCGATGGTGTAGACCAGGTGCTCCTGCAGGAGTACGGTAATAAAGGGGGTAAGCAGAGGATATAGAAATGATCCCAAAACAGCACAGAGTTTAAATGACAGCTACTTGCCTGAGAGAGGAACTCTAACGTGTAGGTGTAGACGATGCGAGCGTAGGTGAACACAGGCAGCCCTGATGGAGTCACCCGATCCCCTACTCTCATGGCCTCCAGGATGCGGTGGTGAGTGTAGAACAGCACTTCTTGGCTGAGATTTCGCAGGTTGAGGCTGAGATAGATGTCAGGATACAGAGCAGACGAGACTTTCCACAGCCAGAGCAGCTGGTTGTTCCTCTTGATCTCGATAGCCGGACACTCCCCTGTGTAGTTTGTGATTTTGTCACTGTAGTAGTTGTAGCAGTTGGGAAAACCATAGTAACCCCACAGCCCATTCGGTCTTTCCTGCTTCCCCAGTTTCAGTGTTTCTTCCATGAATTTCCTCGCTGCATCCTCAAACTGCACCCGGGCTTCAGCTTCTACCTTTGCAGGGCTCCAGTCTGGATGGTCCAATCTCACCAGTGCTTTTGATGCCTCCCTGTATACCTGCATACTGTCCCAGTTTCTCGCCCATAAAGGTCTCCAGTTCTCCCAATCCACGACAGCCAGCCCTGGGAAATTCCTGTCAGGAATAGCGGTGCTGATATTTTTATAAACAACTCTTAGGTGCTTCTCAAGACTGGCATTCTGTGGGACTCCACCATTAATAGCCTGATCTTGCCCAGAGTATCTGGGATACAGACCAAACCTGTCAGAATAAAAGATGGTTATGTTGTCACCCATAAAGGATTGGTTTTGATTGTGGACGATGTTAAATATCCCCAAGTCAAGGTCCACACCATACTGAGAGAAGCAGTTGGCAGTGGGGGCATTCCACACAGTGAGGAAAGGCACCTGGGAAAAATGTGATGTTTTCACCTGCAGCCCTGAAACAAGGGTGATCACATTCACAAGCAACAGCAACTCAGGATGAAAGGCTGCCATCCCTGCAAAGAACACAACGGCAACTCTGAGTTGTGTAACTGCGTTGTGAAAATCTGAGAGGATGTTACAACATTATCCTTAAACTGCACATTTTAAGTAACTTAATTAGGCAGCAGGAGTCTTAAAAGATCTAAACTTGATATCCATTTACAGAATCTGAATTAAAGCATCAAGAATTTTAGTTTCTGAGCAAATGTGTATATTTGAATAAGATAGCAGGTCATAAGGTAATACATTGTGTAATAAAGAAAGAGTAAAATGCATTTTAGACAAAATTACAAACACTCACTTACCTACAAGGATTACACAAAGATGCTTGTTTGTACTTTGCGTTCTTGAAATGCAAGGGGGAGTCATATGATCCGAAATTTACATACTTAAGAGGAAGGAGCAAAAACACATTTAGGAGTGCCCTGGGATTTCTAACAACCAATCAAATGTTCTCAAGGGTTTTCCAACTACCAATCAGAATTGTGCAGAGAACTTCTAACAACCAATCTTAGCAGAGAGGCAAAATGCATCATGGAGGTAGAGATTTAAAGTCACAGATTAGGTAAAACCTCTTTTCACCACTGTCTCTCCTCAAGGCAGTTCTCATTATGTATCAAAAATAAAATAAAATATAAATGTACTGTGACTGAAGATCAGTTCACTAATCAGTTCACCGAGAAGACTTGGCCTGGACAGGATATACAGTTCTACTTTAAACTGCCGCCAAAAAGACATAATAATCTCTTCCCCTTTCAAATTTCAATGCATGCCTCTTAAAAGGTGTTTAAAGAAATATTTTGGTTTAACAGCACCCTACAGTTACAGTAAATGGCTATGGGGTGTGAGGTTGTTGCATGCAGACGGTGTCCTTCCCTGAAAACTGCCTGGCTTTACTTCCCTTCAACGGTCAGTAGTGAAACTTTTTACTACCAAGCAGTAAAATCATAAATGTATTAACAAAAAAATGTGTTTAAGTGTGTAGGTAATTTAAGCATGACAGTTCATTTTATTTCTATTTGTTTGTGTTACAGTATAATCACAGTAGTAGGTCTAATTAGCACAACAGCCTAAAGCAGAAAATATAAAGTAATTTTGCAGGAGACATTGAGAAAGTAGCCTGTGTATTATCCTTGGTAAACTTAGCAAAATGTCACTTATTTTTAACACTGTGAGGAAACAGTATACTGACCTTGGCTTGTTGTTACTGTTGTTGAGATGTTTTTGAATGTACAGTACAATCAGCCATTATTATTAGAAAACATTGTGATGTATTATTCTGAGCGAAACAGTAAATTAAATTTCACACTTTTTACAGACTTTACTGCCACTTATTAGACCGTAACTGTCATGAGACTGTTTTCTTTGAAAAATGACTTTGTTATTCTGGATTTGGTATGGAGCAGCTCTTACCACTCCACCCAGGGTAACACTTGCACTCAAAATCAAACCTCTTGAACGTTTCCTGGTGTCTCTTCATCTGTCCTAAAACGCTGTAGGTCGTCCGTCCATTGGGCATCTTCTCAGACACCACCTTCCACACGGCAGGGTTGAGGTGGAGGTAGGCCCTGGAGTTCAGGTTCCTTCTCTGAACCAACAGCTGTATTGTCAGCAACACCAATATAAACTCTTTGTGGGTTTAAGAGTGAAGACAAGTCTACAAGGTCATCAGGTGGGCCCCCTCTGAATAACAGGTGTTTTGCTGAGTCGGGCCCACGACCTGCTG